GCGCCTCTTGCCCGACCGCCTGTGCCGGGAACATGGGTGGGCTCCCCAACTGCCGCGGCGCTGGAACGATCTTAACCAATACATTTTTATGTTTGCTTATTAGTCATCTGCGTAGAATTTCTCCTTACTTTCGGTTCAGTGTTTTAGTGTCCACTGTTTTTAGAATTTTAATTTTGCTAACAATTTGAATGTCGGCCCCTCTTGATCTTGAGCCCCTGGGCTGAAGCCTAGTTAGCCTATAGGGAAATCCGGCCCTGGGGGCGTGGGTGGGGGGTGTTTCCCAGGCTCCATTTAGTGAAGTTGCCCTCGGGCAATAACAAGGGGTCCACCTCCCGTTTTTTTCTGAGCTTCTGCCCTCTCCCCCTCAGCTACAAAGACCCCACCGCCACCTCCGAGCCATTCGGCAGCAGTAAAAACAGAAGGCGACATGGAATAATTCAGGATCTTCACAAAGAAGAAAGCCAAGTTAGGGCTATTTCTGCGGGCTTGGCGTTATTTTGTGACTGTAGCTATTTATGGATCAAATGACAAAGGATGGATCCTGGAACACCGGATCCCATGTCTGGGATCTACAAAGACCAGAAAAGCCATTTGGGGCCGAGTAGCAGGGCGGGGCCTCATGGCGGGGGGGGGGGGAGCTGTAGCAGGAGGGAGGGAGATGCTCAAAAAAGACACACACACACACGGAGTCCCGTGGGGCTTTTGGAGGGTGGCCCAGAGCAGCTCTTGGGCCAAGCAGAGCGAGACGCTCAGAGCGAGGCCTGAGGAACAGCACGGGGTCTGCCCTGCCAGGGTCTGAGTAACACCCCCTCCCTCCCTCCCTCTCTCTCTCCTCTCTCCTCTCCCCCAGGTGCGTGGGAAGATGGTAAGGGCTCTCTAGGATCATGCCCCGCCCAATGCGATGTGGCTTTCTCCTCCTGGCCTCCTGCTGCTCCCTCCTGAGCGTTGCCCCGGGGTGGGCCTGCCCGGCGCGCTGCGAGTGCACCCCTCAGCTCAAGTCCGTCTCCTGCCATCGGAAACGCCTGACGTCCGTCCCGGAGGGGATCCCGACCGAGACGCGGATCCTGGAGCTGAACAAGAACCGCATCCGCTGCTTGAACGCGGGCGAGCTCTCCTCTTTCCCCATGCTGGAAGAGCTGGACTTCAGCGAGAACGTCATCTCCAGCGTGGAGCCCGGGGCCTTCGGCAACCTCTTCAGCCTGCAAGTCTTGCGGCTTCGGCGCAACCAGCTCAAGCTGATCCCTGCGGGAGTCTTCCACAAACTGGCCAACCTGAGCCTGCTGGACATCAGCGAGAACAAGATCGTCATCCTCCTGGACTTCGCCTTTCAAGACCTGGTGAGCCTGAAGCACCTGGAAGTCGGGGACAACGACCTGGTCTACATCTCCCGGAAGGCCTTCTCCGGCCTGCTCAGCCTCCGGGAGCTGACCATCGAGAAGTGCAACCTGACGGACCTCTCGGCCGAGTCCCTCTCTCGCCTGCAAAGCCTGGAGGCCCTGCGGCTCAGGCACCTCGGCATCGGCCTGCTGGAAGACCAGAACTTCCGGAGGCTCGGCCGCCTGCGGCTTCTGGAAATCGACAACTGGCCGTTGCTGGAGGACATTTCGCCCAACGCCTTCCAGGGCCTCAACCTCACCTCCCTCTCCGTCACCTTCACCAACATCACGGCCGTGCCGACCGCAGCCCTGAGGAGCCTGGGGCACCTGGCCTACCTCAACCTCTCCTACAACCCCATCAGCACCGTGCCGAGGGGCTCCTTCCGGGAGCTCACCCGTCTGAGGGAGCTGCACCTGGTGGGCGCCCTGCTGGTCTCCGTGGAGCCCCAGGCGCTGTCCGGGCTGAGGCAGATCCGCCTACTGAACCTCTCCAACAATCTCCTGTCCACGCTGGAAGAGAGCACCTTCCACTCCGTCAACACCCTGGAAACCCTCCGGCTGGACCAGAACCCCCTGGTCTGCGACTGCCGCCTGCTCTGGATCCTCCAGCGCCGGAAGACGCTGAACTTTGATGGGCAGCCCCCCATGTGCTCCTCTCCCCTCGAGATCCAGGGCGACGCCCTGCACGGCTTCCCAGACTCCGTCCTCTTCGAGTACTTCACCTGCCAAAAGCCCAAAATCCGGAACCGCCACCTCCAGCGCGTGACAGCTCGCGAGGGGCAGGCGGTGTCCTTCCAGTGCCAGGCCGAGGGGGAGCCCACGCCCTCCATCAGCTGGGTCTCTCCTCAGCATCGGATGATCACCTCCAAGAGTTCGGGCCGGGCCACCGTGTCGCCCGGCGGGACGCTGGCAATCCGCTACGCCCAGGTCCAGGACAGCGGCACCTACATTTGCATCGCCAGCAACACTGCCGGCAACGACACCTACTTTGCCATACTGACCGTCAAAGGGCCCTCCGCCGACGGCATCCCGGATGCCAACCGGACATCGTTGCTGGGCGAGTTCAACGAGACTTCCCACAACGACAGCCGGGTCTTCATCAAGTTCACCCTGGACCTCAAGACCATCCTGGTGTCCACGGCCATGGGCTGCATCACCTTCCTGGGGGTGGTGCTCTTCTGCTTCCTGCTACTCTTCGTCTGGAGTCGGGGCCGGGGGCAGCACAAGAACAACTTTGCTGGGGAGTACTCCTTCCGCAAGGTGGACGGCCCCACCTCGGCCTCCGGGCAGGGGGGAGCCAGGAAGTTCAACATGAAGATGATCTGAGGGCCCGTTGCTCCCTGGGAAGAGCGGCACCGCCATCGCTCTGCTCCACATCAGCCGAGATGCACAGCTGGGGGGAGGGGACACAGCAGGGTCAAGATCAAGGGCTTGTGGGGACCCACTCCCCACTCACGCTCTGCGCGAGCCCTTGTAAGGCCGGGCATTGCCCCAGCCCCTCCTCCCGCTTCTCCCCCGGGGGTGGGGCCCATGGGACCGCTGCTGGTCCAGATGCTCAGCCTGCAGGCTTGCCAGTGTTCCCTTGGCAAGCCCCCTCCCACTGCCTGGAGCAGATGACCGGAGCAGCTCTTCGGCTGGGTGGGAGGGCCTTTGTCCCCCTCAGGGCATCAGCGGCACTCCCCCCCCCACAGTCCGCCTCACTGTGCTTCCATCTCCCTCCCCCCCCCCTGCATGTCTCTTGGCCAGGTGGGGAACACTAGCGGGTTCGGTGTGGGGGGGTTGAGTCTGCGTTTTCTATTTCAACTATGCATTTTTCAACCACTGAGAGCATTCCGTTCGGCCTCGGAGGCCCCTCTTTTTTAGGAACAATTTTGAAAAAACCCAGGTTTAGTCCATGGGTTCGTTTTTAAACGGTTTTCTATGCGCCTTCACCGTCTTCCGAGGTGGCAGGGCTGCAAGGGAGGGGGGGCGCTACTCCGCCCAGCCTCCCCTCGCCCCATGCCAGCAGAGCTGAGCACCGGCAGCCGCGGCCCTGAAGGGTCTCCAGGGGGCAGGTCAGCAGAGGGCTCGCGGGCTGGCCGGGAGCACCTCCCTCTCCCCCGCCAGGATTCAGGGCTGGCAAAGAGCGAAACCTCTCCAAGCCTCTCGGGCTGCAGCGAGACAAGGGCTCCCGCGGTGTCCTGAAGGGGGCGCTGCTGAGTGACAGCCGGCCTTCCCCCGCCTGCCTTTATGGGCGAGAGGGGGGGGGGGGCTTCCGCGTCCCCTCCCTTTGGGGCGCAGCGCCCCCCTCCTTCCCGGGCAGCTGAGGACAGTTTCCACGCATTGCAATCAGCCATCAGGTCTCCGGTCTTGGCTGAGCGAGGCGCCTGAACGCGCCAACGAAGGCGGCTTCATTAACAAGCCATAGTTTAACCAGGGACCGCTTAGCATGGCGCCCAGACCAGCTTGCATGCACGAGTGCGCCTCTGTGTCCCCAGCGGTGCCGCCGCCGCCGCCGCCACCTTTCCGGATTCTTCCGCCCAACATCCCTCCTGCAGCAGGGCGGCCACACCGGCCCTGATGGCGGCAGCCCGGGGAGCCTCCCCCCGCCCGGCAGAGCCACGGGAAGGGACTGGAGGCGCCTGCGGCTCCTTTGCCCTGGACCTCCGGGCAGGGGAGGCTGGGCGCGGCCCAAGGCAGAGCGGAGCCGCATCCGCCCCTGGGTGCGTTTCTGCCGCTGACGAAGAGGTGGGCGGCCAAGGGCCAGAGGGGCTTCCTGGGTGGGGGGGCTCAGCCTTCTGGGCCACAGGGGAGGGGCGACCCCGCCTGGAAGAAGGCGCAGGGGGAGAAGCGGAGACCCTCTTGTCGCTCCCCTCCCACGGCGGGGAGGGCGGAAGAGTTGCCCCCAGGCAAAGGCACAGAAATGCGGGCTGACGAGTTTTCCCAGCTGGTCCTTCTGACCAAAGCGGGCCTCCAAAGCCCCCCCCCCCCCGCGGTGGGCGTGGGGGGGGGGGGGGCT